CAGTGCTGGGATCAGCGAAGGTCAGGAGAGTCTTAAGGACGCATCCTGGCTACGCGGTGATAACCCATCTCTACTAAAGAGATACGCAAAAAAAACTTAGGTCGGGCATGTGGTGGCGGCCGCTGTCAGTCCCATTCTACTGTGGTAAGGCTGGAGGCAGGAGAACGGCCTGAACCTGGGAGGCGGAGCTTGCAGTGAGCCGAGATCGTGCCACTGCACTCCAGCCTGGGAGACAGAGCAAGACACCGTCTCAAAAAAAAAAAAAAAATGAAAGAAACCACGTCCTTTGCAGCAACATGGATGTAGCTGGAGGCCATTATCCTAAGCAAATTAACATAGAAACAGAAAACTAAATACCACAAATTCTCACTTATAAGTGGGAGCTAAACACTGGGTACTCATGAACATAAAGATGGCAACAATGGAAACTGAGGACTACTGGGGACATAGGGAGGGGGTCAAGGGTTGAAAAACTAACTATTGGCTGGGCACAGTGGCTCACACCTGTAACCCCAGCACTTTGGGAGGCTGAGGCGGGTGGATCACGAGGTCAGGAGATCAGGATCATCCCAGCTAACATGGTGAAACCCCATCTCTACTAAAAATACAAAAAATTAGCCAGACGTGATGGCATGCACCTGTAGTCCCAGCTACTCCGGAGGCTGAGGCAGGAGAATAGCTCGGACCTGGGAGGCAGAAGTTACAGTGAGCCAAGATTGCACCACTGCAATCGACAGAGTGAGACTCCGTCTCAAAAAAAAAAAGAATAAAAGAAAAACTATTGGATACTATGCTCAGTGCCTGGGTGACAGGACCATTCATACTGCAAACCTCAGCATCATGCAATATACCAGGTAACAGAACTGCACATGTACCCCTTGAACCTAAAATAAAAGCTGGAAAAAAAGGTGAATTCCAAATTAGTCACATACCTTTAAAGTCTATATTCAAGTATATAGTATTTAAATTTGAGCTTCTGCCACTCATATTTAAATGTATATGAAGTATCTGCTGCACTACTCCCATTCTATTTAGGTGAGCTTCCTTAACTTTGTAACTTACTTTCCATAAAGTCTTTGCTACACGATAATTACATGAATTTCACAATGTATTTCAAAGGGTGTGAATTAACACCATAATAAAAAAAAGAAATGGGCCAGGCATGATGGCTCACATCCTACCACTTTGGGAGGCTGAGGTTGGTGGATCACCTTAGGTTAGGAGTTCAAGACCAGCCTGGCCAACATGGTGAAACCCCATCTCTAGTAAAAATACAAAAAGTAGCCGGGCATGGTGGCGGGTGCCTGTAATCCCAGCTACTCAAGAGGCTGAGGCAAGAGAATCGCTTGAACCCAGGAGGTGGAGGCTGCAGTGAGCAGAGATCACACCACTACCCTCCAGCCTGGGCAACAGAATGAGACTCCGTCTCAAAAAATAAATACATCAAAATAAATTTTAAAAAAAGATTATATAATTGAGTGAAATAACAAATAAATGCTATTCATTTATTCACATACTCAATGAATAGGGTTATGTACCAAGGGATAGGCATCGTACCCAAGAATGAGAATAACACAGCCTATAAAACTGAACAAATATATAAAAATAAAAAAGGGAACTCTATATTATTCATGCTTATGATTAACATGATGGAAAAAACATGGAGATTCAAAATCAGAAAAGATCCGTTTCCAAATCATGGCTCTCCTAGTTGCTTTATCACGTAATCCGAGTCAATAATAACATCTCTGAGCTTCAGTTTACTTACAGGGTTACTGTGAAGATAGTTATGAGGTATGCTGTAACTCAAAGTTATTTTCCTGTTTATCTAAATTAGCTTCTCCTTCTGATTTCTCTATTGTTTTACAGCATTCAATAATCTACCAAATGGCCGGACGTGGTAGCTAACGCCTGTAATTCCAGCACTTTGGAAGGGTGAGTCAGGTAGATAGCCTGAGCTCAGGAGTTTGAGACCAGCCTGGCCAACATGGTGAAACCCTGTCTCTACCAAAAATACAAAAAATTAGCCAAGCGTGGTGGCCCATGCCTGTGGTCCCAACTACTCATGAGGCTGAGGTGGGAGTATCTCTTGAGCCTGGGAGGCAGAGGTTGCAGTGAGCTGAGATCCACTGCACCCTCACCTGGGTGACAAGGTAAGACCCCATCTCATTTTAAAAAAAAAAAAAATTATATCAAACACCAGGGCTTATGATTGTATGGTCGTTGACATCTCTTCTTTCCATAGAAATATTAATCTGTCATATATTATGCAGATTACACCTTCACCATGACTCTATCCGCCTGTAACCAATCGTGTCTAAATCTCTAAATCCTGAAGCCTACTATGGTGTTTTTACCTCCATCTCCTCTCACCTGTAATGCATTCCACATAAAAGCTATATGTACAGGATTTATCTTCTGAAGTATATCTCTGAGGTTGTCATTCTCCTACACTAAGTTACATTTTCTGTAACTCTTAAGACCTTTTGCAGCAAGGCCCCACTGAATAGATCCTTCCAACTTCACCTCCAGTGATTCTTAAACTGTAAGTTACCTGAGGTAATGATATTTAGGTTATTTTATCCACTATCCCTAGCATACTATATGACACATAATAGACACCCAATAATAATGTTTGAAAAAGCAGTGAAAATCGGCCGGGCGCGGTGGCTCACGCCTGTAATCCCAGCACTTTGGGAGGCCGAGGCAGGTGGATCATGAGGTGAGGAGATCGAGACCATCCTGGCTAACATGGTGAAACACCATCTCTACTAAAAATACAAAAAATTAGCCAGGTGCAGTCGTGGGCGCCTGTAGTCCCAGCTACTCAGGAGGCTGAGGCAGGAGAATGGCTGAACCCGGGAGGCGGAGCTTGCAGTGAGCTGAGATCTCACCACTGTCCTCTAGCCTGGGCAACACAGCGAAACTCTGTCTCAAAATAAAAAAAAAAAAGAAAAAGTAGTGAAAATCTATAATACTCTTCCCCCAAAAATGAACACTGGACTATCTCTGGTGCTATAATTCTTGCTTCATTTCTTTCTAACACATTTTTAATTATTAATACACAATTGTTCTAACCAGGACAATATGGAAACTGGTCTTTAAAGACAATCACAAAGAATCACAAAGAGACAATAGCCCTCTGTGATTAAAAGAAAGTCAATGAAAAAGCTTTTTAATCCCCCTATTTTAATTACTTTTAAAATTCTTAGTCTTGCTACTAAGTCAGCAGCTATAAGGCATGGGTTAAATAACTGCAACATAAAAACTGTAATTTTAAAAAGACAAAACCAAATACCTACTGAATAATACAGCATCAGACAAATTATTTTTAAAAAATAATCATTATCATTATCATTAAATCTTCTGAGTACCTCTCAGGTATTTGTCCTAAAAAATTTTTTGGGTCTCTTATTCTTCTAGTAAGTGAAAGCCAGACATCCAAACTATACACATCCATTCACACAAAATTTTTCCCCTCTAAGTACACTACAAAATTTGTGATAAATGACACACTATGGCATAGTGTGTTCACATATACTCTCTGTAGACAATTTGAATAAGGAAATAATATCACATATACTCTCTGAAGACAATTTGAATAAGGAAATTTAGGGCTAATCATAAACATTACCCATGGGCATTCCTCAAATACTAATCTCTCTGTTCATTATACACTCAATGTCATTGACTCAAAAAAGCTTGGGGAAAAGCATAGGGTCCAAATTAACAAACAAAAATTTTTTTGCCCAGCCTAAACATTTGTTTCACATGTAACTTTTCCGTAACACTAGTGTTGTGTGCAAGGACACAGACTCCTTAGGGATCTTTCAGCATAACCTAAAACTTACATGGGTCTTTAGATAACCTAATAAAACAGTGGCTGTTATAGTCAATCAATACAGCTCTCTAAAAGGGCTAGGCTAAACACTCCAGCATTTAGAAATAACAGAGGTCTCAATTTATCTTTACCAACTTAATGTACTCACAACAAATGCTTGCGTCACGCCATCACAACTCTCCCAAACAATGAAGGTAAAACTCAGGACCAAAAGAGAGCTCCTAAAGCTGTATTTCATTTGCATTATAAAATCTACCGCAAAATTTTTCATAACTTTACTCTCTGAATTCATGAACTAGAGTGGCAGGGGCAGGAGGGTGGGTATAGAGAAGAACTTCCCTGAAAAGCATGGGTATAAAATATGACTGACAGTATCTCAATTGTTATTTGCCAAATGGCAGGGGCAAAGAGTTACTCTATGGATAACAGAGCATTAAAAAAATTTTTTCTAATTCTTACAAAACTGGTCCCTATTCTATAAAATGTGAACATCCACACCCCAACAAGTTACAGACTAGGATCTAAGACACAGACCTTAAATGCAGAATAAAATGCCAATGCTCCGCCTCCCTAAAGAAACATACAACACCAAGAACTGCTGAACACCATCAAAGCAACACCCGCCAGAGTGGCTGTTTTAAAAATTGTATCAGGAAATCATGCTAAGTGCTAGCGGTTCCTCTAGGCCTCAGCAGCAGCCTTAGGTATAAGAGCAAACTGGAGCCCTCTTAACACTCAAAGAATAATGTTGATGTCATGACGAGGCTACTGATTCTTCGCACTCCGGACAAGTCATTCCTTGATCCACAGCGCAGTTCTTTCCCCACCCACCCCCATCCCCCCAAATAAAGAGATCTCCAGACAGAGAAGCCCTCGGGTACCCCCTCCTCCTCTACCTCCAGCGGCTGCCGCTTTCTCCTCCCTCGGGCTCCGAGGTGGGGGCTCCAGAAGGTCCTGGGCAATCCCGAGCCCCGGCGGGGCTTGTTTTGCCCGTGCACGATAGCTCTGGCCAACAGCTTCCTTTCCCAGTTTGTCCAAACTGGAGCGCTTCAGGGTACCCGGGGCCCGAGAAGGGAGCCGGGGTGGCGACGTCGCCGCCGCCGCCGCCTCTGGTATGTCAGGGGCCGGGATTGTATTTCGAAAGATCCGCCATTTTCACCTCGTCATCACCATCACAGCTCAGCAGCTTCCCCGACAGCCGGAGCCCGGGCCGCCGCCGCCGCCGCCACCACCAGTAACCTCCCCCTTCCTCCTCCCCTCCCCGCCTGCCCCTCCCGGGAGGCGCACACCCACATATCCGGGGAAGCCTCCCGCCGCCCCGCCAACCTTCAAACGCACAAGGGCCGTGCAAGTGCACACCGGCTACGCCGAGACCTTTCACCCCCGGGCGGAGCACGGGCCCCCGCAGGGACGCCAAAGGAAGTCGCGCCACCTGCGGGGTCCCAAGTCCGGCATATTTTTGTTTGCAAGACCAAAAGCCATGCGGAGGGTGGCATAAGGACAATAAAGAACCCAAACTCTTTTATTTTCAGAGCAGCAACTTGAGAGAGATGGTGGAATGCGTTTTATTCACTGTGGCTATCTCAGGTACCAAAAACACTGTGAAGACCCTTCATGTCATTCACCAACTTTGACATTTTACCCCACCCGCGGAACTACTTTGACAGGATGAGCTATTTCCATATGCATGTTCGACCTTTGACACCTTTGTCAATTACAGGCAGCAACCCTCATGCAGGTGAGGTGGTCAAAACACTTCATTTTAAAAAATAAAGTTCTGAGCTGTCTTCCTCTCCAGCTTAATTTTATCTGGTCATTTCTGTCCATGAACACTGTGACTTCCAATCTGTCATCGGTTTAAGACGTCAAAGCGCAACTAGATTTAAAATGTATTGAACTAATTGTAGAAACATTCATGAATGATCAATTTCTAAAATATTGAAAATATAACTCTAAGTTAAAAGTATTTGCCAAATGTTTTTAGGATCTAAGTCATCAAATTAAAAAAAAAAACAAACCATCTGCTGCTGATATATTTGTTCAATACAGTGAAAATAAACAGCTTGCTTCAGAACAAGACCCTAGAGTTACCTACTAGGTTAAGTAAGAGTTACCAGCTCCTGTCATCAGTCAGTTGAATAAGTAACCAAAAGAGAACAGAGGTAATTCTTAATCATTTAAAAAATAACAAAACATAAGCTGCAAGGCTTCTTCTGAGACCAACACTTAAAAAAAAAAAAAAAGGAAACTGGCTGCCTTTGTCAATTTCAGAAAGAGTTAACCAACCAAAAACTTAATTCTTTATCATTCATCTACAATATAAGCTCTGGGCAAACTGAATTTCAAGGCTGCGAACAGGGCCACTCTACTGTCTAAGTTAGTGTAAGAAGATTAAGGTTGAAGTTGAAAAAGTCATTTCATTTCCCTACCTTGTTTCAATGGCAACTCCATATAAAAGTCGGTAGATTCAGCCTTCAACAAGGGCTGTCTACCACCCACCCCAATTGCTGTTTTTATATGCAGACTGCCAGATGCTGAGAGTATAAAGTGTTATCAGTTACTTCATCTTTAAACTTCATTTCCCCACTGACGGCCCCGTCCATCCGCACTCTGCTTGGTTGTTTACCGTTGCTGGCCAAGCTAAGTCCCGGCCCGCTCCCTTCCCCCGTGCACCTCGGGAACATTATGACATTTGGCTGGTGGGCTTCGCGAGGAAAACGGACACGCACGAACAAGAGCCTGTACAAAGGGGCATAGGAAGAACGCGGCGGCGAGCAGTAGGGAGAGGAGGGACTGGCACAAAATGACACAGCAGCAAAACCGGTTCCCAGAAACCCGGGGCCGCCACGGCCGGCTTGTTGGGTCGCGCAGTGTGCGTGTCAACAGCCGCGGGAGCCCTTCCTCCAGACCGCCAGGCAGGCGGCTGGCCGAGCGCTGGCCCTGCCGGGTGACAGCCACCCTCCCGGGAGCCGGCGGGAAGAGACGGAGCCCCGAGGATCCTCCGCCCCCCGCAGCCCAGGGAAGGGGCGCGGCTGACCCCGCTGGCGGGTTCCCGCTCCCCGCCAAGGCCCACCGGCCCGGGCTCCCGGAGGGAGCGGTCCAGCGCTCTCCGCCCGCGCAACCACTCGCAGCGGGGGCCGGTTCCCCCTTCCCGCCCGCCCGCCCAGTAGCCCCCATCCCGGCGGCTGACACTCACCAAAGCCGGCGGCGCCGCCGCCTCCTGGTCGCGCGGCGCTCCCTGGGCTCCCAGCAGCAGCGGCGGCGGCGGCGCCTCCGAGACACAGACCAGGGTTTGTTCAAAATCACGCGCCCAGCGCCATTCCACCGCCGCATCCCATAATACGCCGGGCCCTCCCCGCCCGCGCGCCCCTCTCTGCCCGCCCCTGCGCTCAGCACCCCGCCCCACGGCCGGCTTCCTTCGCTCCGCCTCTTCCGCGGTGCCTCGCCCCTCCCCTTGGCAACCCGAGCCCGCGCTATTCCGCCCGGCTCCGCCGGGGCGCTACAGCTCCACGTGACTCCGAGTGGCGCCCGGTCAAAGCGATCGCACGGAATGTTCCATCCCACTGAAGCTGGTGGGGGGAGGACCCGCATCGCGCTGCTGTTGGGAAAGACCGTCCCTTCGTCTAGCTTTCCTTGTTAGGAAGTGTGAGCTGTAGGTGCGACTTCCAGGATATCCCGCTGTTTGATGTGCTTGAGTGAGGAGGTGATCAGTAGTCACAAATGCCAAGTCACTGTGTTTTTGGGCACTAATTTTGCAGGGGTCGCTAAAAAGCCCCAGGGAGATCATTGAGAGTTAAACTTATTTTGAAAGAGACCTTTTGTTTTTTTCTTGCAACACACAGCTAAGACTAACACAGTCAAAATTATTTGTATTTAATCACCTTTTATTTTTTCCCGCGATTTATATGATATCCAAATACGGAGTCGGATGACCAGACGCTGAGAGATCATTCTGAGGGGAAAAAGAAAAATTATTCTGAGAGATTATTAACTGCTGTGTGTGAGACAAGCACTACAGATATGAAAAAATAGAAAATACAAGAGTGTAAATGTAAGATGGTGCGGTACAGTGTATAATTTGCTAATGGAGCACGGATGACATACAGGTCAGCATCAGAGACTACCTAGGGAACACAATGGAGGAGGTGAAACTAGTGGAGGCAGCAATCACTTTGGAATCAAGCGGTACTGGTATTTAGTGGCACCTCCGTTTATTAGTGTATAACGTTTATTTTCCTATCCAGCAAATAAAAATAACAAAACTTCCCAGAATTCTGATGATTAAATAAAATGAAGGGTGCTAAGCAGGTACACTATCTCTGCCTAAAATGTTAGTTCCGTTGTGCCATAATCAACACCCAGTACCAGCCCAAACACTAATAGTCAGGATTTAACAAGGCAGATGTCATGAAATTAGCAAAGCCTTGAAAATGGTAAGGTCTGTGACATGTGCAAGGAATGTGATAAAGTTGAAAGATACAAAGGCTTTGTTGGAGATCAGCATTGTGAGCCCACTTTATGAGGAACCTTGAGAGCTAGTGTGAGAAATCCTCATGGTAAAATGATTGATGGTACTGTTGGCGCACCACTGGAAGGAAGAAGAGAGTGCGATGGGGTACCCAAAACTGGCTAGATTTTAGAGAGACCAAACAAATCTCAAAAAAGGGAGACCCTTTCCCAGTTTATTCCACAAGGCAGCATAACTCTCATACTAAAACCCAAGACAAACAGTGCCCAAAAAAGAGAAGGGAAACTTCCTTTCTCACTATGATTTTGTTATGAAGGGAAAATTGATTATTTAGATGTTATTGGTCTGGTGCTGTGGCTCACACCTGTAATCGCAGGACTCTGGGAGACCGAAGCAGGAGGATGGGTTGAGGCCAGGAGTTTGAGACCAGCCTGGGCAACGTAGTGAGATTCCATCTCTACAAAATAATTTTTTTTTAAATAAAAAGAATTAAGATGTTATCAGACCAGGCGCAGTGGCTCACACCTGTAATCCCAGCGCTTTGGGAGGCTGAGGCAGGTGGATCACCTGAGGTCAGGAGTTTGAGACCAGCCTGGCCAACATGGGGAAACCCTGTCTCTACTAAAAATACAAAAATTAGCCGGGCATGGTGGCATGCGCCTGTAGTACCAGCTACTCAGGAGGCTGAGGCAGGAGAATCACTTGAACCCGAGAAGCAGAGTTTGCAGTGAGCCGAGGTCATACCAGTGCACTCCAGCCTGGGTAACAGAGTGAGACTCTCAAAAAAAAAAAAAAATGTTATCAAATTCCAGCAATGTGGTAGTAAAAAGAATTTACAAGCTGGGCGCGGTGGCTCATGCCTGTAATCCAGGCCCTTTGGGAGTCTGAGGCAGGTGGATCACGAGGTCAGGAGATTGGGACCATCCTGGCTAACACGGTGAAAACCCGTCTCTACTAAACACATAAAAAAAAATTAGCCGGGCGTGGTGGCGGGCGCCTGTAGTCCCAGCTACTCGGGAGGCTGAGGCAGGAGAATGGCGTCGATGGGAGTTCAGAGGTTGCAGTGAGCCGGATGAGTTGCGCCACTGCCACTCCAGCCTGGGACAACAGAGCCAGACTCCGCGTCTCAAAAAAAAAAAAAAAGAATTTACATCATGACAAAGTATGGGGTTAACATAAACAGTGATCTAACATTAAGAAATCTACAAGTATAATTTATTAGACTGAAGGAGAAAAACCAAATGATAGTCTCTAGAGATACACGTATAACATTCAACAACCACTCTGAATTTTTTTTTTTTTTTTTTTGAGACAGAGTTTCACCCTTTCACCCAGGCTGCAGTGCAGTGGCGCGATCTCGGCTTATTGCAACCTCCGCCTCCTGGGTTCACGCCATTCTCCTGCCTCAGTCTCCGGAGTAGCTGGGACTACAGCGCCGCCACCGACGCCCAGCTAATTTTTTTGTATTTTTAGTTAAGAGACGGGTTTCACTGTGTTGAGCCAGAATGCGCCTTGATCTCCTGACCTCGTGATCTGCCCACCTTGGCCTCCCAAAGTGCTGGGATTACAAGCGTGAGCCACCGCGCCCGGCAACCACTCTGAATTTTTAAACTCTTAGTAAACTAGAAATACAAGAATGTTTCCTTAATTGGAGCAAGATAATCATCAGAGAGCAACACCATACATTTCAGTGAAATGGCAGAGCATTCCCTTAAAATCAGAGACTCACAAGGAGGCAGGGGATATAGTAGCTATTATTTACCATTTT